CCCCCACCCCCCACCTGCACCCGCCTCTCCCAGGCGGGGTGCGGGAGGCCCGCGTCGGTGGAGGGCGTGTTCCCGACCCCTCCGACCATGCTGAGAATCTCGGGAGGGGAGTTGCTGGTCAGCCGCCAGGCCGTGCCCTTGGGGAGGCCGGGGCCACATGCCACAGGACGCTGCTGTGACTTTGTAAATTCCGCGGTGGGGGTGGGGGAACGTGTGGCCTGGAGGGGGCCGGCCAGCGGTTTCCCAGGCCCTTCCTGCGGACACGGCCGCCCGTGCTGGCTCAGGGGAAAGCGCTGGTGGCGTTTCCGCCTGGGACGGTGCCGGGACAGGGCGGACACGGCCTGGAGAGTCTCTTGGGGTAACCTCCAGCCAGAAGCGTGTGACGTGTGACTAGCTGGCCCCTGAGTGGGGGAGCATGAGGGCTCAGTGGTGCCACCTCGCTGGGCGGAGGGGCCGTTCTGAGCCGGCGGGGGGCTGGGGGGTGCAGGGACCCTGAGCGCAGCCACAGCGCCCCAGCTCTGCCAGCATCAGAGCCAAAAGGGCGGGTCTTCGCTCCTGCTTTGACTTCTCTGCCAAAAATAAAACAATGAAGCCCCTGAGGCCTTTTATAAGCTTGTTTTGAAAAATGTAGGCATGTCTTTTATTTCCTGGCAGCTTGCTGGGTAATTAGGGTCCCTCCCACAAGCGCAGTTGGGGTTGGAGTCCAGCGGGCAGGGCAGGGCGCGAGTGGGCAAGGCCGCCCTGAGCCCTGTTGGCCCTGAGCCTCCTGCACACCCGGCCTGGGAGGGGGGCTGCTGCCCAGGGGAGGGGCACCTGAGCGGGTGTCCCCCCCGTTAGCTTCGGGGTGGGGGTGAAGGAGGCATTCCCAGGAGGGTGGGGAAGCAGAAGCCGGGTGTCGGAGGGCCAGCCCTTCTTTCCCACCCTCCTGGCTGTGGCCCCAGGAGATGTCCTCGCTCTCCCGCTGTTCGATGTCCAGGGCCTCGCTGCGGCCACCCCTTGGTCTCGTGCAGGGTCTCAAGGCACTGCCTGTGGCCTGAGTCCAGGCCCTTGAGCCCCTTCCGAGAGGGGCTGCCTCGCTGGAGTGTCCAAGCACCTGTCCCTCCCAGGTCCTGCCCCTTTGTGGTCCTCCCTCCACTGGCCCCTCTCTTTCCTGTGTAGATGGCAGCCACCCCCTTGCCCCCCGGCAAAGCCTCCTCTGTGCCTCACCTCTGGCGTACCTCCCCAGGTACCCGTCGGGCCAGGCTCAGCTCCCCAGAGGCCCCAGACATGCCCACCTGGGCAGCAGCCCCTTGTCAGCTGGGCCTCTGTGCCCTCCATCTTCCTCTGCCATTGAGTCACTGCCTCCCGGCCTCTCCCGAGCCCTCGCTGCCCCTCAGCCTCGTTCACACCTCGGATGAGGGGGCCCCCTTTCGGCCACCCTGCATCTCTGTGGCCACCATCAGGTCCACATCCTGCAGCCACCACGGCCGGAGACGCAAACTCTGACTGCAGACCTGACACATCCCGCTCCCCACACACACCTAGGCCTCTCGCCCTGCATCCCACTGCTGGGGACAGCAGCCACTCCTCCAGGCCCAGCCCTGCCCCGGGCCCAGGCTCAGCCAGCCTCCAAGAAGCCTGGACTCTATGCCTCCTCTGCCAGAGCAGGTGGCAGGAACTGTTTGCCACAGAATGCGTTTGAGGGCCGGGGCCTGTGTCTGGTCCTGGACAAGCCCTTGGACTAATCTGGAGGACAGCATGGTCCTGGCTGCCCGCTGTGTGGAGGGCCTGGGGTTAGGGGCCCACGCCCGGACACTGCCCTGTTCCCGCCCCTTCCACCCTGGACCCCCACAGAGCTCAGATGTCTGCACGCGCAAGTCCAGGCTGGGCAGCGGGGCGGTGGCTGCGCATACACGGGCTGCTAGCGATGACTTGCCTCACTCGGCACAAACCCCGTTTACGGGTGTTGAGCCACTGAAGCCGGCCCGGTAGGGCAGGTGGGGAAACCAGTTGGGCTGCCCCACCCAGGCGCCTGCTCAGAGACCCATGGCAGCAGCATCCCAGGGGCCCAGGTCTGCCAGCCTGTTCTGCCCTTTGGCCCGCCCGCCGCCCACACCCCTATCATCAGTCAGATCACAAGGGTGCCCCGTGCAGCCTGGAAGCAGGGGCCACAAGGAGCGCTCTTGGCCCGGGCCCTTGGGGGCGGCTTGTCCCAGCCAGCCCTGCACCAGTAAATGGGTGGCCGAGGAGACCTGAGCCTGCAGAGTGGGGCGTGTCCAGGTCACCACGAACAGGAGGGCAGGCAGGGGGGTGTCACTGGGATGAGCAGCATGTCTCGGGGGGCCCTGGACAGGCACCAGGAACACCTGGTTAAAACGTGGCTTCCGGGGCCCTCGCGCACTCTGGGGGGGCCTGGGGACTGCGTTTCTGTCACGCCCCCCGGAAACCCTGCGGGGGTCACACTCCGGGATCTGCCTTGGCGACGCAGCCGTCCTGGGTGGCTGCCGGAGCTGACCCAGGCCAGGTGAGGGGGGTGCAGGTGCGGATGCCCTCCGGGTGACAGAGGGCAGTAGGGAGACGCCATGAGCCGCACACTCCCACCGACGCAGTAGGTGCGCTTGGAGGGGCTTCCTGTCAGGAGAGGGAAGAGGGGGTGACCTGCGCGAAGCGCACAGCGTGACGGCCGCCAGCGCTGGGTCACACTCCGGGATCTGCCTTGGCGACGCAGCCGTCCTGGGTGGCTGCCGGAGCTGACCCAGGCCAGGTGAGGGGGGTGCAGGTGCGGATGCCCTCCGGGTGACAGAGGGCAGTAGGGAGACGCCATGAGCCGCACACTCCCACCGACGCAGTAGGTGCGCTTGGAGGAGCTTCCTGTCAGGAGAGGGAAGAGGGGGTGACCCGCGCGAAGCGCACAGCGGGACGGCCGCCAGCGCCGGCACATCCCGGCTGGCTCCGAAACCACCCAGTCAGCTGCCAGCGGTCGGCTGAAACGATGATGGTGCAGCCTCAGGATGGAATACGATGCTGCCACCAAAAAGCCTGCTTTGCAAAGGTAAGGCATGCGCAATGCTCAAGGCACAGCACCGGGTTGAAACGCGTATGAAACGGAGAGTTTGTTTCGTGGAACCTTAAATGTGCTCGAAAGCACATCGGGAAGAATTTCACCGAAATGTTAGAAGTGCTGATTTTTGGACGTGGAATTATGGCTGTGTCATCTCGATGATCAAAAGATGAACGACGAGCATTTACTGAGCAGCTGCCAGGAGGCGGCCCTGCTCCGGAAGCTGGGGCGGCACAGGGAACCGCGCACAGACGCACAGACGCACAGACGCACAGACGCACAGACGCACAGACGCGCTCGCAGCGCTTGGGGTAAGACGTCGCTGCCCCTGCGTCCGGCCATGGCCCCTGCCTCCTGCCGCGGCCCCTGCCTCCCGCCGTGACTCGGAGCCCTCGAGGGCTCCTGCAGGGCTTCAGTGAACCCAGGAACAAGAGGATTAGTGAATAAGTGCACAGGGGGTGAATGCACTGGGTTTCCATGGTGACTTGTCTGAGAGTTGTCTAGTGAGCCAGTCACCCCTAGCTAAGAAGTTCTGGCTTCACAGTCACCGAGAGCTGAGGACCAGGGACATCTGAGTCACTCCTAGATGGCTGGGCTTGCATCCCAGTGAGGTACCCGGGGTCAGGCCCTCTGACCTCCAGGCCAGGGGCGGGTAAGGGTGGGAAATAGGTAAGGGCAGGGTGCGGGGGTGCCAAGAGAGATGGGGTCCCATTTCCATTTGGCGATGCTTCCTCGGCCATCTTATGGGCAGGCTTGAGGGGCAGGGCCAGGAGCTGGAGACCAGTGAGCAGGGATGGTGACCTGGCCCTGGGCCATGACAGGGCAGGTGCTGGGAAGCGGGATGTGTTCCCGAGGCAGAGATGCCAGGCCCAGTGCCGGCTCTGACCCCCTGGGAACGAGAGAGAGAGGGAGGTGCTGAGGAGGCTCCGGGGTTGCCTGCAGGCCCAGTGGCGGTGGGTCCAGGAGGAAGCAGGACTCGTGTCCAGTCCCCCCGAGTTTGGGCTGGCACGGTAAGGAGGCAGCTGGGCGTCTGGAAGCCCTGGGTCTGCGTTTTGAGCCTCAGTTTCCTCGTCTGCAGGAGGGTGACCATCCTGCTTGTCCTCTGACGGGCCGACGCGGGGAGGTCCAGGCAGAGGGGCCAGCCCCAACTCGCACCCGCCACAAAGAGCAGCCAGTTGGCCCAGCACCCTTCCCCGACTGCCACCCACCCCACCACTGGATTCCCTTCCGCCTGCTCCCCATCCTCCTCCAGCACCAGCGGGGCGGCCCACAGCAGGAGGCAGAGGAGTGTCCTGGGCCCTGAGCGCCCAGGGGCGCGGCCCCTCCTCCCAGCCACTGCTCCGCCCTCGCTCCAGCGTTCCTGGGAGTTCAGAAGAAGTCGGCTCCGCTGCCAGACCTGCCTGCGTCTCACCAGGCTGGCTTGGAGCTGGTGGCCGGATGGGTTGTGACAGTGGCAGTTAAACCTGTGTCACGGGCACACTCAGATGTGGGCACTCTGCTGCACAGAGGGGAAATTGAAGCTTGTGGGGAACATGACCAGCCGCAGGCTGCCCGCTGCGCTGGGTGGGATCTGGGAGAGGCAGGGTGGGGACGGTGTCCTTGTGGGAATGCAGGGAGCAGGCGTGTGGAGCCCAGCCTCCCTGGGTCATACGCACTGTCAACACCCTCTTCCCCTGGGGCCCCGCAGGCACCACCGCTCAC